ATTATCCTGTAGAGCTTTTTTGTTGTCCACTTGGAGACAGGAAACAGACATGCGGGCCCTGAGAGGTGGGACATTGAAAATAAGATGCCTCACATAAAATCCGGTCCTAAACAATGGCCTAGAGACAAATCTGTGTACCATTAAAAGAAGATGAAGAGATGTTCCCAGTGGTCTCTGCTTGGGTTCTATGGAAAATAACAAGAAAAAAAATCATAACCAAGAATTTGAAACCACAGGCCAAAGTCTAAAGGGTTTGGAATATGCATTTGTGTCACCTTCTAGGTGCAGAAAGCAACTGAACATTTGGCCCCAGACAGGGACAACTCTGGGCAACAGAAAGGGACAAAAACAAAACCACTTTGGAGAAACACTCCCACAACCGTGGATGCAAGGAGAACTCATAGAAAAAGAGCTTCAATTAACCTATGCAACAATCCTGCATGTTCTTCACATGTACCCCAGAACCTGAAGTGCAATTATATATATATAAGCTTCAATTAAACAATTCACAATGAAAAATTTCAAAGTACATAAAAAGTAATCCATCATGGGCAAGAATTAGCAGGCACAACAAACAGAAGAATTAGCAGACACAACAAATGGTGATAGAACAATAATCTAAAGACATGTTCAAGGTGATTGAAGACATAAAAGGAAAGCTGTAATCTTCAAAAAGAAACAAAACACAACGAAAATAAGAAGGCTAAGTAGACTTTCAAAGAGAACTAAACAGCACTTCCAGGAATGAAAAATACAGTCATCAAAATAAAAGTAAAAAGTTTCCATAGGTAGGTAAAACAGATTATATAGCCTAAGTGAACATTAATGAATCGGAAGATAGATCTGAAAAAAATTACTCAGAATGCAGTAGAAAGAGACAAAGAGGTAGAATAATAAAAGATGGGCAAAAAGACAGACACTGTAGCATAAGAAACTCCAATTTACATCTAATAGAAGTACCAGAAAAAGAGAAGCGGGAAAGTGGAAAAACGACAATATTCATATAATTAATGGTTAAGAATTTTCCAGAATTGATGAAAACATATAAATCCTCAATTCAAGAAGCACAAGAGTCTCAAACAAGAAAATAAAAATAAATGCACATCCAAAACAGATTCCATAGCCTAAGTGAACATTAGTGAACAGTGTAGTGAAACTGCAGAATACCAGAGACAAAGAAAAAAAAAACCTCTAAAAGTAAACAGGGAACAAAGTAAAGAATCCACAAGGAAAAAACAAATTCACTACAGATTTTTCAACAGAAATGATAAGGCAACACAGAGAAATAAAGATCCAAATGTCAGAGGGAGAATGAATGTCAACTTAGACTTCTATTCCCAGCTGAACCATCACTGATAAATGAGGGAGAAACAAAGACATTTAGATGAACAAGACGGAGTAATTTACCAGCCACTGATTCTTACTTAAAGAACTGAAAAAGACTCACTTTAGGAAGAAGAAAACTGAGTTCAGAGGGAAGGAGGAGGATGCAAGAAGGAACTGTATTCATTATTGATTTTCTGCAGTTTTTATGTTTTGAAATAAAAATATAGAGGAGACACGGATGACCCCATTAGCTTGTTTAGAACACTTTGCTTGGGAAAGGTGAAATAATGATAAAATTGGATGAGAACAAATGCTATTAAATGTCCCCATGAAGCAATAAAAATAGAATGAAATTATTGACTTATCCATAAATATTCATGAATATGACCTGAGCATCTTTTGGGTATAAAGAGCCATTCTGCAGAACAAGTGAAAGATATTTACAAAGAAATAAATCTAAAATTTGCTTTGTGAATAATTTTTATTTCCTGCTCTTTTTTTGTTTCTTTAAAGTTGGCTATCTGGATATTGCAAAGTCATAAATAAAACTTTATACTTTAAAGTTGTATGTAATCCGTTGCACACAATCTAATGGGTGTGAAATTCTGAATTAGTCTTTTAAAAATAGAACTAAAAAATACAGATTCCTAAGTAGTCCCCCAAATAATAAATCTATACTTCCAAGTTTTTGAAAATTACCTTTGCAATCCCCATACAAGTTTTATTTAGTTAAGAATAACAGAATATTTATCAAATTTTATAATTTGATACAAAATCACATAAATTCAGAATTTTAAAGCACCCAATGACTTTGCAAAAGAAGGTAACTCAGCAAGAGAAACCGCAGAGTACATTTAATAGAATTCACCTTAAATGTAATCTACATACATCAAAAATAACACCTCTTGTTAACAGCTACAGGACAAAATGCCAAATGCACAGTCACACTTCTAGAATCAGGTGACAAACCTCTGAATCCATTCACATTTACTGGCCTACAAATAGGCAAATATAAGGACAGAAAATTACTAAGCATTTTTCAGCAGACAAGAAAAGACTATGGCACAGAAGCTTACAATTCTACCAAAAAATCAAAGGAGGATAAAAAGGCCAGGTGCAGTGGCTCATGCCTGTAATCCCAGCTCTTTGGGAGGCCGAGGTGGGCAGACCACCTAAGGTCAGGAGTTTGAGACCAGCCTGGCCAACATGGTGAAACTCCGTCTCTACTAAATATATAAAAATTTGCTGGGCATGGTGGGACACACCTATAGTCCCAGCTACTCAAGAAGCTAAGGCATGAGAATTGCTTGAACCTGGGAAACCAAGGTTGTGGTGAGTCAAAATTGTGTCACTATACTCTAGTCTGGGTGACAGAGTGAGACTCAGGCTCAAAAAAAAAAAAAAAAAAAAAAAGGGACACTTTTTATTAAAAAAACGGTAATACTAAAAATTGATTGGATTCATCTTTTCAGCTAAAAACATCAAGTGTGTCTTCTTGGCCATCAATAACCAGCAGAATTCCTCACTCTAGGCACATAAGAAAGATTTCCTGATCATGAGAATTTACACTTTAAAATTTTTTCTTGTTTGGGGACATTTTACTTGTATCACAGAGAGGAACAAAAATGTCTACCCCTATTAAAAGAATGCTATGACATATATACATTTTTCTGACCTAATCCTTATTCCAAAAAGAAAAACAAACTCCATGCAAACAAATCCTAAGCTGAGTAAAGAGAAAAAAGTTAAATCCAAACTATTTTATTTCATAAATTCTTAAAAACAGTAAACTATTATTTTGGAAACATGAATGGTTCAAAAGGTGTCAGGACATAACTGTGTAAGCATCTCTTTGAACTTTTGTACAACTTCACAGCTCCTCAGGAAAATATATTACGATATACAATTTCAAAGAGAATAGACCTGCCATTTTTGTACTTTTCTAGGGCTACAGGGTGAAATGAATCTTCATTGTGCCTCACCACCCTCTCTTTAAACTGCCCCACATCCTCTGAAGTGGAGGTAGCATTCCTCCCTCCACCAGGGAGGGAGTCTGGGCTAACTCAGTATCTCTCAAGGAGATGGAGGCTCCAAGGGTCAGCCCTGTTCTGGGCAATGGGACTTTGGATATTTCAGGCGGCTGACTCAAGTTATAGGAGAGTCCTGTGTTGGTTTGTTTTAAGAAGTTAGCAACAGTATCTGCAACAGTGTCTTTACAAGAAGAGGACAGTGCAAAGATTGGCAATAAAGTGTAGAGGGGTTCAGATGTGGGCTCTGAAGCCACCCAGTTTGAGTTTAAATCAGCACTTTGTGACCTTGAGTATTTACTTAACCTTCTCTGTGCCAACTTCGTCTGTAAACAGGAAATATATGCTATCTACCTAAGGTCACTGTGAAGATGAAAGGAGGTAATAAGATGTCTACTATGCCTAGCACATAGTAAGTACACCACAGATATCAGCTATTATTAAACATTAAACATTACGTAAAAACATGAGTGAATGGAAATAAAGGTCCTGTAGTAAGGATGAATTTAAATGACTTAAACTGTAAAAGCAAGAAACATTTTCCATAATTATGGAAATTCAATAAATGGAGAGAATTTTATGAACAGAATGGATAAATATAACATCCACTGATTTAATAAAAAATTTAATGTGCAAAGTTTGTAACTTTCAGGTAAACACACTTAACAAACATTCTTGAATTCTGACTCCAAAACCTTATGCTGTAATTCCTGTAAAGGTCATTTTTAACAGATGATGTGCATCACCTGTTACATATTTTCAGAGACTTGTATTATGGCTTTAAGAATATAATTATTTTAAGTTATAACAAAGCAATCCTCTGATTATCTTCTTATTGCCCCAGTAACCTCACAGGAGGTACAAAGCCACACTTCACAGAAACAGCTGCGTCACTCTGAATTCCTTTCCTTTTCTTTTATTGTGTGTGGCCCTGCCAAGGTCAGAAAACAAGTAATCTGAATCTACCAATTGCACTTCCTTCCTTCCTGACTGTCTTTGGAGAGATTCAGTGCTCTTTAGAGCCCTGTTAGAGCAATTAATGTAAGGTAGACTCATGCCTGCCTTATTTTTAGCAGAAGCATCTGCAACCAAAGACACTGACATCCAAGGGCATAATTTCTCTAAGTAAGTCAAGAATTTGCCTTCCAAGGTTTTAGAATGGAAGTGGTGCTTCTGAACAACTCATCAAAACACTTCCTTTGACAATACGGTACCAAGGCCTTATCTTCTCAAACTCGAAGTCCACACAGCCACCTGAACAAAATGATTTTTCTTACCATTTACTTTAAAAACTGGATAAAAGATTTTGCCATATTATATCTATATCTATATATATATCACAGAGACTCTGAACGCAATTTTCTATGATTGATACTTCTTGTTAAATTATGCTTATTAGCCCCAAATGCAGCAGTGAAGCATGCTACTGTATTGTATTTGCTGAAGATTGTTTTAAAATCCTCAACACTCAAATTGTTTCTCTTAAATCAGGGAACCTAGCTATTATCTTTAAAAAATTACCTATGATATTAAAGAACCTTTACAAATGGGGGAAAAGCAATCCATCTTTTGTTAGAGTGTTGAAATCTAGTAGAGTCAGTATACAGATGAATTTCCAAAGAGGCAGGTTCCATAGCAGGTACTCACCAGGGGCTCTGCCATAATGATACGAATCTTGCGTTCGGCCTGAGTGGTGAAGTTGACAAATAAACTTTTGAGGACATATTCTCCTGGTTTGCTGTCTGGGTCCACATTGATGGGTAACATGGTTGGCGGCCCTTTCTCTCTGTGTGTGCCAGAAGCAGGTGGAACCGGAGGCTTGATGTAACCGTTACCAACGGGAGAAGCTGAAAAACAGAATGGGCATTTTTACTTGGTGAAAATAATGGCATAAATACTCCGATGGGCTGTGTTAAACCATAAATATCAGGATATGCATCATATCAAGACAGTCGCACTTAATACCTGGCCTCATTCTCGGGAAATGGTGTCAGAATTTTATTATTTTCATTACCTATGTTTGCATTATGCCATATTTGATCATCTCAAAATTCTAGTCACCACATTGCTTTAGGTAAATTATATTGGAAGCTCATAATATAGCTGATCAATATTACAATACTTAAGATATTTTTTACTTATATTTTTGTTCTAGGGAAAACAGCAGTTCCATTTAGAAAATGGGCAGAAAATGTATATGGGAAAAAAAGTGATTTCTTGTCCAGGTTTTTTCCTCATGGTCAAGAGCTCTCTATCTTCTGTGCTTCATTCTAACAATGGAAAAGACTCTGGGGTCATTCCTTCCAGAAGTCTCCAAGAATCCATTTTCAGAAGCCTAGCTGGCTCTTGCTCCAGAAAGGGATGTACCTCTTGAAAGATACAAGGCTCAGGCAGTGCCCTGTTTGCCGTAAAAGGTGTGAGTTTAACTTTTGACTCTCACTACCCTTCGGCTCAAGTTGGGACACCTCTCCACTTCCTTTATAAAATACGTAGATTCCACACTAGCATTATATCTTGAACAGAGGCAGCTATTAAAGCTCCTGATGAGTGGCCTCTGTTCAAAATGCAATAGAGTCAGATACTGTTTTACTTAGATAGTTGCTAAACTTTTTTTTAAATTTATAAATGCAGATTTTCAAGTCTTTACTTTTTATAGTACTTTGATAAGTTAAATTCTACCATCCCTCCCACACAAACTCTTGTAAGATGGTCAGTTATTAATATCCAGTGAAAGAAATGTAAGAGCAAGTAAGCTTTGGTTACAGGCATTTGGGAATGCTGAGAACAGGAAGTATTTCGTTAAACAAAAGTATCTAGGTGTTGGGTGATTGGATATGGAGATTATGGGAAAGCGTCAAGTAAAAGATGGGTTTCCAGTTTGGACACTGGATTGGATATCAAGAGAATGGTAGTGTCACTGATATTCAAGGCAGAACAAAGTTCTCCATGAAAGTTGAATACTCTTTTTATAACTACAAATAAATGCAGGGCTTCTCTTGCTTTCTCTCTATCTCAAGCCAAATTCTGAGGAAGCAATATAACATTTTGTTTATTTTATTAAATTACAAACATGACCCCTATGTTACATAGATGATTCTCCCTCACCTTTCCTACCCTTCCTCTGTCATTCATTTAACCTGACGCAACAGTTGAGGGGACTTCCCAGATCTCAGCTACCACTAACCTGTAAGAATATGGCCTCACAAGTTACAGAAATACAATAAAATGTCTTGCATATGACCTCGTTTCTCTCCATCGGCCACATCCTGTCCAGGCCCTTGGAAGCCCATGGCTAGATTACTTCAGTGGTCTCTTTGCAGACACTGTTTCACCTGTTTTCTATATCAAACTACCCTTTCTCTTGCATGGCTTTAGTCATAACATGTTTCTGCTCAAAACTGTCACTAGCTCTCAGTCACCATCATCCAGCCTCAGCACCCTGGCCTGCCTTTAGTAGTTTGCTTCCACACCCTCACCCAAGTCCTGCTGATGCCCTCCCTGGCCTGTGAGCACACTGGTCTCATCTCACTTATTCTTCCTTCTTTCTCTTCTGTAGCTCCTTTCCATTCTTTTCTGCCCATCTCTTCCTCCTCTTCTTTCAGAGCCACTTCTAGCCTCATCTCCGTAACACCTAACTCCACTAGGCCACTCTTCACTGGTTAATTTGCTTTACAAGAGTTGAACAGTTAACCCAAACTGTTTGGTGTTTTGCTTTGTCTTGTACATCCTACATTACCTATGAATGACTCAACAGACAGCTGCCAAGTAAAGTAACTATCGATTGGAGACAAGGTTTTGTCTAGGGCCGGCCCTGTAATCAAATCATATACTCTTCTGGCTATATCTTCTAAAGTTCCCTAGTAAGACTGTAGACTCCCAGATGTCATACAAAGTTCTTTGCACAGATAATACTCAACAAATCTCCCTAAATAACTAAGAATGTTGCCTGACTTATTTCTGCAGTTCTTCAAGGCATTCCTGGGATAAGAGCTACAGGAGGAGACATATTATGTCAGAATCTTTTAAGAAAGGATGCAGTAGCTGTGACAGAAGAGTCATTAATTAAATGGTACTGCAAACAGTGCACTGAAAGTTACTATTTATTCCAAAGGGGCATATGGAAAATCAAGTGATGAAAATGAAGTCCTGGCCACTCCTCTGCTTCACCTCCTAGTCCCACAGTGCAGGCACCTTGTGGAAGCAGGACACCTCCTCAACACCAGCTTAGGGAATGACTCAAGATATCTTCCTCAGGTATCAAGGGCATTATGCCTCAGAACCAGAGACTGGGCTATAAACCTAAAATGTCTGTTTGGAGTATGACTTTTTATTATCTTTGGTTTTCCACAGGATTTGATCCATTTCTAGATGACAGCAATAATTGGATTGATGTAATATACACAGTAATTGCAAGACAAGATCCATAATTGCATGACTCTGGGGCCTAAAAGTCTTAACTACGGAGAAAAGATATTCATGAGAGTGACCTCTGACAGTCCTCCTGCAAGGCTGCATTTTGAACGAGAGAGCTGAAATCCAGATACCAGAAAATCTCTCAGACAAATCCTCCATTTAAAGGGCTATAGTGCCAATTCACTGCTATCATAAAAAATGTTACTCACCTGTACTTCAAAGCCAGACATCTTTGTGAATAAGAAGCCAGAATCTTTGTGAATACAGAGGTAACATTCAAAAAGATAAAACTATATGAATAGCCTTATTGAGCTGGAATTATCCTATCCCAGCAGAGCCCTCTACCAGAGCAGAAAATGATTTGTTGGCGGGGTGGTGGTGGGGGGGGGGCCGTGGCGGGGGCGTCACCCATCATTCTGAGTTTAGTTTCAAGCACAGATCAGCCTAGGCAGCTGGAGATGCATTAAAGTTAATGGGGTAAGTGTATTTGAACTAGGTCCATTTCCAAGTTTCAGTAACCCCTCTTCATCCTACCCTAATTAATTCATGGTAAATCCTAGCCTTAGGATAATTTTCAAAAGTAAACATTAAGACATGGCACCTTTCAATGCCTCAGTTATTTGGTGACAATATAGTGCAGACCAGGAAATTCAAGTTCCCTGGTAGTCAAACTTGAGTCATAAAGTCCACACTAGTCTAAATATTAGAGCATTATCATTAGAAACAAAATTATCAGACCCTCTCACGGCACTTGCTTGCTCTTCTTAATCTATACATAAGATCATTTGTCTAGTTTCTAAATTCACAATGGTCTGGAAACAGAAAATTATAAGGGAGGGCGTGGAATTTCCATGGTTAGAAATGCTATTGGCAGAAGAAGAAACAAAATTGCATAATTTGAAAGCCACCAGAACTTACAAATGCAGTTAGCTGAATATTATAGTCTGACAGGCTTGAGGGCTTTGATCACTGTCGCAATTTATGTTCATTATGATGACCATAAGTCTCACAGAAAAGTAAAAAAAGGTGGAAAAAAAGTAATAAAAAATTGCAAAAGTTTACATTTCAAAAAGATAAAACTAAAAAAAACTTTTGGTGTCCGAAAGGGAATAATTCGCTGCCTCTAAGAATTTAGCTCTCGAGAATTAAATCTGTTCCTTCATAGGTCTGATTTTTAACTGAAATTTATTTTTGATTGAAAAAAACAAAACAAAACATGGATTCAGTACCAGCCACACTGAAGCCCCATTTTCCAGGTTTGCAAATGCAGGTAGTGACTGAATCAACTCCTCTCCGCCTGGGGTGCTTTCCTTGCTTTTTACCCAGTCCTGCAAGCAAATCCTCCCACCTTTCAGGACCCAGGTCAGTGTGGCCTCCTCCACCTGGCTTTGTCTGGACCCTGCCTGCCAGTGCCATCCAGCTGCCCCGAGGGTCAGCCTTCTCTTCATGCCGGGTCTCTGGAAATACGGATCTGTCCCAGTGAAAGGATCCTGACAGAACCTTTATCACATCTTCCGCATCCAAATTCTTGTTGAAGGAACAATTGTTCCTTGTTGCTTAATTCGTTGTATCAAAAACCCCCATTAAAATTTCTTGCATGTAATGGATTTTTTAAAATCTGTTTTTATTTATTTTTAATTGTGGTAAAGTAGACAAAATTTACCACCTTAGTCTTTTTTAAGTGTATGTTTCAGTGGCATCCATGTGATAAATTTTTTAGCACCAACTCCATCTGCCTTTATTCACCTTTTCTTCATTCTAGCTTTCTATTTTCATATAACAGCTCAATGTCTCTACAAAGTCATTCAAATCAGTGCTCCTGTGGTGGGGGCTGGTGTGGAGTGGAGAAAAAGAGCATCACTTTTGCATATTAATTAGGTTTCTAATTACTGAATCCTTTTGAAATCTGTCTTTTCTTTATATTTTCCCATTTACATTTTAATCTTGGTTTTAACACGTTCTAATTTTTTTCTCCACTGCCTTCTTTTGTCTTAAATGGGTTTTGTTAATATTCTTTTACTATTTTTATTCCAAATTCTGTTCCTAAATGGTTTTGTTGGATGGCTTCAGGAAGTGTTTTCCCGTGTTCACTGGGTCTCTATTTTTTATATTAAGTAGGGCCCATTCCTTAAATTATGAGAAGTCTATTTTATATGTTTGGGGCCCATTCATTTCCTGTTTACTAAATCTATTTCTGACTGCAAGTGATGATCTTTTGAATATAACTATTTTCCCCCCAATTTAACTGACCAATAGCTTAATTTTTAGGCTGTCTGTTCTTAGATCTTCAGCACAATTTCCCTAAGTTACCGACATTTCCAAGACAGACTACCTTCGTAACTGTAGCACCAATACAAACACCTCCACAGCTCATAGTTCAGCTACATTTTTATAACACTCCAAAGAAATGACTGTCCTCATATTAGAGCCCCAG